GGGGAGACACCTGAAAACACAATTTTTATGTGTCCTTCTCTTTACTAAAACAACTGTGGCAGAGTACAAGGGGACTGGAGAGGTTAAATTGTCTGTCTGCTTGGGAGACAGAGTGGGGAGAATACTTTTGCAAAGGTTGGTCTCCAAACAAATTGCTCAGAGAACAGGTTAGATCCTCAAGCTGTGAGTTTTGTTTCCTTTTCTGCCTATGTTAACTTATTTTTGGTTCCTTGTTATAGACATTAACTCATGAGGAAAAGACCTTGCTGACCGAAATTACTTTTTTTTCCTGCTGAGTAATTCCTCTGGTTCACAATAATAAAACCAAAACCATATTTTGGGAATAAAAAATTAGACTCTATATCTGGAGATCCCTGTCAATTCCATCTCCTCCATCCTCTCAAGGGCCAGTGTAGGATTATTTCCTCCAATACATATGTGTCAACTTTTAAAAAAAGAAAAGGAGGAGGATCTGTAGCATCCATAGAGGGTCACTTGCTGTGGGGAGCATCTTCCCTGTCCTCTTTCCGCTCCAGAGCTGGGAACATGTTCTGAAACTTTTTGCAAGAAACAGCCAAACTGCCACTAGCTTCAAGATTACAATGTTGTCTAAAGTGAACTTTCTGTAAAATAACAAATGTACTCTAATCATAAATCTTTCCACTTTTAGTGCCTCATTTATTTATTTTTCCTTTCATTTTTCATTCTCCATTTTTCCTAACTTGTCAGTGTATCCCTTCTTCAGTCTTTTCCCAGGATCTGTGAAACCCTCAGACTAATTTTCTATCACATTTTCAATCATGTTAGGCTAAATCAGAAAAGAAAAATGTCTGTCTCCTTCTGCCTATCTGAACCTTCAATGTTTTCACACTCTCGCTTTCTCTTGGTCCCAACTTTTCTCTCATTATTTCCCTCCCCTCGTTCCAATAGCCCCCTTTGTCCTTTCTTCCATCCATTTCTGTCCTGCTCCCCTTGGTTCTTTAGGGATGGAGGATAAGAGCATGGGCTGTGTTTGCCCTCCAAATGTCCATGATGAGTTGTTTCAGAGGATGCTCAGCTGACAGTGAATTTGTTTGTGTCACTCTATAAATGAGGATGATTTGACAGTGGAGTTACCAGATTCCCCTCTTGAGAGGAACTAGCAATTATTTTTCCTGGGGTTAAATTATGGGTTTGCACTGAAGGCCTGCACACATAACCTTAACTACAGAGTTGCAGACATAATATTGTAGTGTTTAGATCAAGGAGTGTGTGGTTGTGTGTGTGTGTGGGAGACACACACACACACACACACACTCTCTTCACCTATGATGATAAAGTACTATTTACTTTTTTCTGCAAACACAAAAGCCAAGAAGAAGGAGGGGATATTTCATAAAATCAATGCTATTGTGTCCTCTGGACTAAGCCATAAAACAAGAGTAACAGAGACGTTCCCTTTGAACTTGAAATCCCTTTCTAAGCTGCTGATCTAACCGAAATAAGAGAGGGAGAATATAGCAGCCAGAAACACTTCTGGTCTCTCTCTTTTTTCCCCCTTTTTCTTTTCTTTTCCTTTTTTTTAAGTCCTTAAGTGAGTTTGATGCTGCACCTCTGCCCATAAATTTAAAAAAAATATTATCGTAATGTAGGTCAGTGAACTGAAACGCCACTGTACACTATGGGGGATTAAAGTCAGAGAGGCAGCCCTCGCCCACTCCCACTAGGTCATATGACAATATAAACAAGAAAGGCAAGGAGCCTTCAGCTTTTTCTTGCCCTAATCCTGTGTTTATGCAGCACTTAAACTGACTTTTGGGGTCGTCTCTGTCTGGCATTAAAGCCCTAAAGCTTTTTGAAGTTTCCCTGAAGTTAATAAAATTAGTCTGCCCTCATTGCTAGGCCCCTTGCTGCTGCTTCAGAACAGACAACATATCCCTTACTGTCTTTGCAGCATTCGGCTTTTTAAGTTAATATTTCATAAAAAAGAGAGAGAGATCTCTCAAAAGGCTATTCAGCTAATAGGCAAAGTGATTGCCATAGTAGATGTTCTGAGAACTCAAAGGGGATTACTGTGAAATCTAGTGATTGGAGCTAAATTGCTGTTAAAGTAATTGCAAGTGTTGAGTTTCAGTGGGAGAGAACATGCATTTCTGTAGCTTCTTAAAGAAAAAAAGGCTGTAAAATAGTCTTAATTTTTTATTTTTTTTATTTTTACAAAAATTGATACAGGGCTTGAAAAATGGTTGTTCATTTTTAAGCAAATACCTTTCAGAAGCTGATGTGTTATTTTCCACATCTATTTTATTTGATTGTGTGATCAGCACTCTTTTCATCTTGAGGCTGGGCATCCTCTCAGAAGTCTGTCTGTCTTCAAGGATAAATCAGTGTGAAGTTAATTTCTTCTAATTTCAGTCTAATGGTTAGTGTGGAGGACTGAGAGTCAGGACCTTAGGGGGTACTATTCCACATTTTGCCACTGATGTGATTTTAAGCTAGTTGCTGACCCACTCTATGCCTCATTTCTCCTATTTGTAAAAGGAGGGTATTGCTTTCCCATCTCAGAGAGATGTTGTGGTACTTAGGCTACATCTTCACTGGGGCGGGGGGCGGTTGATTTAAGATGCGCAAATTCAGCTACGTGAATAGCGTAGCTGAATTCAACGTATCCGAACCGACTTACCCCGCTGTGAGGACGGCGGCAAATCGACCTCCACGGCTCCCCCGTCGATGGTGCTTACTCCTACCTGTGCTGGTGGAGTACAAGCTTCGATTCGGGGATCGATTGTCGCGTCCCGACGAGACGCGATAATTCGATCCCTGAGAGATCGATTTCTACCCGCCGATTCAGGCGGGTAGTGAAGACGTAGCCTTAGTTTTTTGTAAAGCGCTTTAGGGACCTCTCATAAAAGGTGTTTGCTATCTGCTGAATGTTTGTTATAACTAGAAGAAGAGGAGGTGTATTAAATATTGTTGCTTAGCACTGTAAATATCTGGAAGCCTGAGTCCTTGCCCCAGCGCTTACAATTTGAAGATCCTATCTTGCAAACTTATCACTCAAGTGAGTGCAAGAGTGGGACTTGATTAGACTTATTTTAAAAGGGTAAGTATATTTCAGGACAGTTGTAATAAGTGAATGCTACACTTTCAGAATTGTTAGTGTTTTTTCCAATATCCATATATTAATTATAGGTTATCACTCCATTCCCTTTAACAGAACTATATAATAGTGCATCTAACTGTTGCTCACAAAGAGGAATTACTCCGAGCTGTTCCGACAGCCCTGCCAGACTGAATGAGTCAAAACGAAACCACGCTAGCACGATGTTCACCCTATAATTAAATTATGTAAATAATTAAATTAAATATAACTTTGGAACATTCTTAAAATGCATTAAAATAATCATTTTACATTTTTTAAAAGCTGATCTCCCTTCCCCATTTAAAGGCAATTACAATTAAACAGTTTGGTATGTGGAAGCTTCCACATTGGGGCATGAGAGATCCTCTGTATTCAAAATGAAAGAGTGAGAAGTGCCTAGGTAGCATAGTGGTGGTCACCTTTTGAAATGCCTACTTCAGAAATTTCATTCACTCCACTGAAGTGATTCTAAAGTACTTCACATAACATTTAAAAGCTAGGAGCTACAGTATTGAAGAACTCTAGATTTTTTCCCTCCGGGATGTTCTATTGATCTTGATAGTTTTTGTGTTTAAACAATTAAAAATTTAGGACTGTGGTATTAGATTGCTTAACTAGACACCTGAGAAATGTCAGGAACTAGAATAGAGTAGTGTATTTTTTTTAAAAGCATCTTAATTTAAAAACATGAAAAAGAACATTGGTGGCTTGTAATTCCTCAGGCTCGGCAAATGTCTGCCCATGGAACAGAAGTTTCTAAGAAATCGGAGTAGCTTGTAACTGATGGGTCATAATGCTGTGGAGTATCAAACTGTGGACTGAGGGAATATTCAGACTAATTTGTGGCTCTCAAAACGTTTTTCTGAATAGCTTGGCTAAAATGACCACTCAGGTGCAATGAAGAAACAGTTGCTGAAGCCAGCTGCAATTTCCACTGTAATAAAGGAACAAAGCAGTGCTTCCTAATTCCTTCTCAAAAATAAAGACTCTTGTTACTGCAGTGAGGGAGGTACAGTAACTCCAGGGGTTAGTAGCATCCAAAGATATTCACACCTTGGGAATTAGGCTCAGTTGGCTGCACCTTATGCTTCATAATGCCTTAGGGAGGGTTGTTTATCTCACCCTACCCACCAAGCTTGCTGGTTCTTGTGCCTGATCACTTAATTAAGAATCCAAACTTGGAATGGCTCCTCCTACTTGGTTACAAACCTTGAAATTAAAATTCATATGAGTTTTGGTTTAACAAATCAATATGATTAAAAATTCACTTCTACATATAGTATTTAAAGGGTTGTATTGAGGAATTCTGAGTAATCACCTGCTTGACTGAAACCAAGGTGACATGAGTACAGAACTGATGTTGAGGGAAGTGGAGTTGCTATAGAAGTGATGTTGGGGTAAGTGATGGAATAAACTGCTTTGTGGTGAGGGTCTTCAATAACAACTGCACTTCTCCATTGCCTTTCATGGAAAGATTTCAAAGCACTTAATAGATGCTAACTAATTAATCTTCACATCACTTATGTGAGGCACGTGAGTAGTATTCCCCCTGTTTTTACAGTAGGTGAGTCTGAGGCACAGAAAATGACTTATAGATGTTCCCTTGTAGTTTTGGAAAAGAGTTGGGGTTAGAATCAGAAGTTCCTGGCTATCAGTCCTGTGCTCACTTAGAATAAGTATTTATATACATACTATGCCATTTGAGAGTTGTGGCCATCCCAAATTCATGCTGATGAAAGCTTTAAAGCACACCACATTATAATGTATTCCATATATGTGTAATTGTTCTTGTTATTCTATGATTTAGGCTCACATATATGTGTGTGTGTATATGTATATATATAAAATATATAAAATACATATTTCTTTTCTTTTGCAGGTGCTGGATGATTATAGTGTGATTGGTCGTTCGTTGTTTAAGAAGGAGACCAACATCCAGATTTTTGTGGGGCTAAAAGTCAAACTATCTACAGGAGAGGATGGAGTAATAGAGGGCGGCTTTGGGCAGAGTGGCAAATTTAAAATCCGAATTCCAAGTAAGTTCTCATTCCTTCGGCTAACAGAAATCTCAAGTGTAGAAGACATCAAAACTTTGTCCAAATGAGGGCTGATCCTAATTGTCACAAAAGGGAGCCAGTTGCAGCATCAGTTCAGATCCAGATGTATCAACAGTTAGTGGGTTCTTGATTCTCAGTGGGCTGCTCCTCCTGTAATTAAGTGGCAGAGGCCATGACGTTATGTTATCAAACTCTATGGAATGCAGCCACCCCTGCTATCTGTCAACAAACTCAGGGTTTGAAGTCCCTTCCCCTTTAGTGCTCAGCAACACTGGACGTACTTTTGGGGTGTGTGGATTTCATTGTAAAGTTTCCGGCAGCATCACACTGAGCAAAATATTAGTGATGTGGAATTAAAACAAGGTAGCAAGAGAGAGTGTCTCCTCATTCATTTTTACTTGTAGTTATTTATCAAATACAACAAATTCAGGATTTCGTTTCCTTAACAATACTCCATATTATGCGTATTGTTATCTAACCTGCCTTGAAATACAAACGGCAATCTCTTTGATAAGTGGATTGTAGAGCTTTTGAGTGTATATGTACCTTCTGTAACTGCTTTTGCATCTTCTACTTCTACACTATTTTTATGATTTATTTGTGTTGTCACTGATTTTTGCTTCCCTAATTTGGCAGCATACTACTATGACAAAAGTTGTTCTGGGTCATGGCACCAGTAAGTGCTGCATTTAAAATTCAAATCGTAAAATAAGAGTGACTTAATAATAGTAATACTTTGCATTTCTCTAGTGTCTTCAATCCAAAGATCTATGAGTATTTTGCAAATGTTAACTAGTTAATCCTTACTACCCCCAATGAGGTAAGTGTTGCTTACTTCTGTTATACAAATGGGGACACTAACATGAAGTTAAGTGACATTGCCACAAGTACACAGCAACTCATTGACAGATCTGGGAAAAGACTTGAAGTCTCCTGATTTTCAGTCCCTCTTTCAAGACTGACCACTCTCCCCCTCAACTAGGGTGACCAGATGTCCCGATTTTATAGGGACAGTCCCGATTTTGGGGTCTTTTTCTTATATAGGTTCCTATTACCCTCCACCCCCGGTCCCGATTTTTCACACTTGCTCTCTGGTCACCCTACCCTCAACTTACAGCTAAAGCCAGATTAGTGCAGCTCCTATTTGGTTAGACTGTGGAAGGCTCTGTCCTTTTGGCTTACCTGGTGAATGTGGTGACTAGACTAAAAGGCTCCCCATTTGTGTCTTGAGTGGAGTCATGTGTTGGACACTCACAATTCCAGTTTAGCCACCAGTTGGGAAACTCTGCCAAATGGTCTGAGATGCTAGTTGGAGACACAATGGAGACTTAAAAATGATTTGCGATGGAGGTAGATGAATTTACTTTGCCCTTTTTGGAACTTTAAACCCTGCTAACACATAGCATTGGGTTGTTGGCAAAAATAGTGCTGCAAGCATAGGTTTGCTTAAGGTAGGAGGTGAAAAAAATGTGTGAATAGGTCTTTCCAAAGAGCTCTAGAGGAAAACCGAGGTAAAGTATTTGTAAATAACACTGTTCTGATGCCTTCTTTCAATAGTCTTTTTTTGGATCAAACGGTAGCCTGAGTGGTGGACAGATCAGCTGCTCACGTGGGAATGAGTCCAATAATCGACCTCTTTGATGAAAATGCTGATGCAGATGGAAACTTAGAGATGAATTCAGGCATTAAAATTTAGTGAGCACTGTTACGTGTTATCAGTGGTGATTACCATTTATCAAATAACAGAAAAATTTTGTCTATAATTTGATCAAACTCTTAATAGAAAAAACGAGTCCCATATGGGACAGGATGGAGTCTGTTAGGTTCCCTTTGCCAAGTGAGCCTGTGCCATCCTTTAGCAAGTAAGAGTGTGAGAAATGACTACCACCCTGTGTTCCCCATTTCTGCAAACATTATAATTATTTATTGTGTATTAACGAAGTGCTGAGTTCTGAACAGAAGTAGGAAGAAATAGTCTCTGCTCCAAGGTGCTTACAATCTACTCCTGCTGGTATTTTCTGAAGTTGAACAGTAGATCAGATCATAGAACAGAGAATCCTCTCGGTTCCTGTTCTTCTTCCAATGAGTCTTTGTGTTCCAGTTATGTTAGAATTTAATATTTTTACAAGACAAAGGAGAATATTATAGCTATTCTTTTCTTTATCCTGAAGCAAGTTTGGGGGCTTTACCAACCAGAAAGAAGGGGCAGCAGCCAAAGCAAGGCAGTCTCATAGGTGAAAAGTATATGTAGTGAAAAGTAGATGGTTTGGAAAGTTTTAAATAGCTTGGTTCCTTTAAGAGTTTCCAAGATTTGTGTGTGTAGGGAGGGCTAATGGGTATGATGCTGTTTAAGTCAACTACAGTTCACATTCCTTTGTTAGGTCAGTATTGCTTTTTTAATGTGTCTGCATCCTGTTTATGGGTTTTCCAAGTTTTTTTTTATTATTATTATTAAATTTAACTGGTCAGATTCTTCTCCCCTTCAGCCTGGCTTTCCCTTACAGACTTTTCCCCCTATAGATTCCTTCCATAAAGAATTATTCTCAACCTTTCTGAAGTTCTTTAGTTAGTTGATTGAGAATTCCTTAACAAAGACATCTGAACCAAAAACAAACAAGCAAACCTTACAAGATGAAAACTGCTTCAACCTGACATGCACAACAGTTACTTCTGAATCACTGAAAACCAGTCTTGACTGCTGGAATGTAATTTGTGGAAATGGGCAGATTGGTTGGATAGTTAACCTATGATCGTTTTGGATTGGTTTTGTTGTGCAGGGATTTGTTGTTAAATCTCAGATATAGCTAGCAGAGGTCGGTAGCTCAACTAGCTGGGAGAAGATTGAGGGAGATAAGGGCAGTTGTTGTCTGTTGGAATGACTAGGTCATTGGGAATCAGGACACCTGTTCTTTTGATTCTGCCACTGACTTTATGTGCAACACTGGGCAAGATACTTCCTTTCTCTGTACCTCACTTTCCCCCTTTGTAAAATGCAGATACTAATTATCTACTGAGGTAAATCGCTTTGGGGTCTGTGGATTAACATCACTATATAAGTACAAAAAGGATTTATTTCCTTCCTCTAGATAAGAGCACACCTAGAATGCTGCATGCAGTTGTGAGTGGCTCAGTTCTGGAAAGCTGTCAGCAAATTGGATGGAATTCACAAACGAGTAACAAAAACGATTAAGGGTCTGGAGGGATTGATTTACGAGGGAAAGAAGATGAAAAGAAATACATATAACTTGGCTAAATGATGACTAAGTGGGAGAGATAATTAGCTACAAATATTTGAAGCGCATAAACACTGAAGATGGAGAGGAATCTTTTCGGGTGGTCCAAGGAGGTAGGACTAAAAATAATAGTATGAAGTGAAGCAAAGGAAAATGAAGCTTGACTATCAAAAAAAGTTTCTTAACATAGATTTATGGGACCATAGAATCATCTCTGCAGATGAAGTGGTGGATGTTCGATCACTCAAGTTATTCAAATATAGATTAGACTGGGGTAGGCAACCTATGGCACGCGTGCCAAAGGCGGCACGCGAGCTGATTTTCAGTGGCACTCACACTGCCCAGGTCCTGGCCACCAGTCCGGGGGGCTCTGCATTTTAATTTAATTTAAAATGAAGCTTCTTAAACATTTTAAAAACGTTATTTACTTTACATACAACAGTAGTTTAGTTATATATTATAGACTTAGAGAAAGAGACCTTCTAAAAACATAAAAATGTATTACTGGCACGCGAAACCTTAAATTAGAGTGAATAAATGAAGACTCGACACCCCACTTCTGAAAGGTTGCCGACCCCTGGATTAGACCAAACGTTTGTGAATGCTCTTTAAGGAAAAACCAGGGTGGTTGGAGGTATAAGAACAAGACACTCTTAACAAGATACACTTTTGCATCTCTGATTTCTGAGAGTATATCAGGACAAAATTTATTCCCAGAATGGCAAGATTTGGCATCCCTGCTTGGTGGTAATGGCATTTCAAGCAAAAATAGATATGCATTTGCTGACAGATTTTTTTTAATTCTGTGCGGATGGATTTTGCAGCAAGTAAATGTAATGGTTTAACTGTGGAAGAGATAGGAGATACTAATATACAGGGTGGCACTTATATTTTTCCAAACTATCCTGCTGTGTCCTTCAAATGCATAAAATGTGTACTATGTACAGTGCTTTTCTATAAGATACATTTAGTGGGCTTCTGAAAAATAAGCAACGTTATAAATGCAAAGTTATCCCAGAGTGCTTTGCAAATTATACACTTTGTGTGATGAGAATTGCCACTGAAATGGATCTATTAAGGGAGTGAAACATGGCAAATGTTCTAACAGTGCACAGTAACGCTACACTTCAGTTAGTGGAAAGGAAGTGAAGAATTCTGTATTTGTTTCAGAGTGATAGCCGTGTAAGTCTGTATCAACAAAAACAATGAGGAGTCCTTGTGGCACCTTAGAGACTAACACATTTATTTGGGCATAAGCTTTCGTGGGCTAGAACCCACTTCATCAGATGCAACTTTGTTGAAACTTATGAACAAATTTAGCAGAAAGCATTTAACCAATTGCCCTACCCTAGCAAAGTGTCATTGAATCTTTAATGACCTTGTGTTCATGTTCTCTGGAAGACAGTAATTCCAACAGTACAGACCTAGGTGGGTTATGGAATCAATAAGCAACTCAAAAGAGTGTGAATCCTGCCCTTTGGGGTTTGTTTTGTTTTGTTTTTTAGAGGTTTCTCATCCACATACTGACTGATCCTGTCAGACTCAGTTTGTGAGTTCATAATGTGGGTTGGTGTGGCTCAGGTCATCAGTCAGCAGATTAGCTGTAGATATGCCCATTCCATTGTTTCTAGCTTGGTATAAAGTTATTGTCACATGTAATGGTCTTAAAACTTGGTGGCTTTTTTTATCCAATTTGAGCACGCTTGATATCACAGGCATAGTTCATTCTCATTTCTGAGCTAATTG